AAATTTTATTTTATCTTATTTTATTTTTTTATGGATTATTTTTCTTTAATTTACACACCCAAAACTGATTATTTAACAGTTTTACTGAGAATTCTAAATTTTTTAAAAATTTATTGTTGTTTAGTTACAGTCATCCCTTTTAAAGCAGATTTTTTTAACTATAAATTTTTTTTAATATTTTTATTTTTAATTAATTAATTTGTTTATTTATTTTTAATTTTATTTTAATTTATTTTTTCAAATACATTTGTCTCTGCCTACCCCCCACCACTTTCCCTTGCCCCCTCCCTCCTTCCCTCCCTCAGCTCTTCCCCTTTGGTTTTGTCCATGAGTCTTTGCTATATGTTCCTTGACTTTCCCCTTCCCTTCCTTTTCCCCACCCCCCTCCCTCCTTCCCTCTTGTCTCTGTTGATTTCTTTTCCTTTCAGTGTTGCCGGTCTTATTTTCCTTGCATCTTTGTATTGTTGGTTAGGTTCCGCTTATAGGTGAGATCATATGGTATTTGTCTTTCGCCCCTTGGCTTATTTCACTTAGCATAATGCTCTCCAGTTCCATCCATGCTGTCACAAAATTTAGTAGTTCTTTTTTTCTTTCTGCTGTGTAGTATTCCATTGTGTAAATGTACCATAGTTTTTTGATCCAATCATCTACTGATGGGCATTTAGGTTGCTTCGAACACTTGGCTATTGTAAATTGTGCTGCTATGAACATTGGGGTTCATAGGTTCTTTTGTATTGGCATTTTGGTATTCTTAGTGTATAGTCCCAGCAGGGGAATCACTGGATCAAAAGGCAGTTCCATTTTCAGCTTTTTGAGGAAATTCCACACTGCTTTCCACAGTGGCTGCACCAGTCTGCATTCCCACCAACAGTGGACTAGGGTTCCCTTTTCTCCACAGCCTCGCCAGCACCTGTTGTTTGTTGATCTGTTTATGATGGCCATTCTGACCGGTGTGAGGTGGTACCTCATGCTGGTTTTGATCTGCATTTCTCTGATGGCTAGTGATGCTGAGCATCCTTTCAAATGCCTTTGGGCCCTCTGTATCTCCTCCTTGGAAAAGCGTCTGCCCAGGTCCTTTGCCCATTTTTTGATTGGATCATTTGTCTTCTTGGAGTGTAGTCGAGTGAGTTCTTTATATATCTTGGAGATCAAACCTCTATCTGATTAAAGAAAGAATCTTAAGAGCAGCAAGAGAAAAGGAGAGAATTAACTACAAAAGAGTTCCCATATCATCTGATTTCTCAAAAGAAAGTTTGCAGACAAGAAAGGACTGGCAACAAATATTCAAAGTGATGAAAAGCAAGAACCTACAACCTAGATTACTCTACCCAGCAAAGCTATTATTTAGCACCGAAGAGCAGATAAAGTGCTACCCAGACAAGGTAAAACTAAAGAGTTCATCATCACTGAGCCATTATTACATGAAATATTAAAGGTACTTATTTAAGAAAAAGAAGATCAAAACTATGAAAAGTAAAATGACAGCAAATTCACAACTATCAACAGCTGAATTTAAAAAAACAAATTAAGCAAACCGGAACAGGAACAAAATCAGATGGAGATCCTTTGGAGGGTTATCAGCTGGAAGGAGGAAGGGGGAGAACAGGGGTGGGGGAGATGCAGAGATTAAGAGGCATAATTTGTAAGAACAAAATAGACAGGGTGATATTAAGAATAGTATAGGAAATGGAGAAGCCAAACAACTTATATGCATGGCCCATGGACATGAACTAAGGGCGGGAATGCTGAAGGGAATCGGGTACTGGGCAGAGGGAGACAAAAGGGTAAAATTGGAACAACTGTAATAGCATAATCAATAAAATATTTTTAAAAAATAAAAAAATGAAAAGACAACCTACAGAATTGTAGAAAATATTTGTAAATTGTATATCTAAAAAGTGTTTAGTGTTCAGATTGAAGAACTCTTCTAACTCAACAACAAAAAGACACAAAAATCTAATTAAAAATGAACAAAAACCTTGGACAGACATTTCTACAAAGAATGTATACATTTAAATGGCCAATAAATCCATGCAAAGATGCTAAACATTATTAATCAGGGAAATGCAAGCAAAAAACAATGAGATACTTTTACATCTACTAAAATGGTAGCAGTAATAATAATAATCAGAAAACAATTGTTGGTAAGGATATTGAGAAATTAAAACCCTTGTACATTGCTGGTGGAAATGTAAACTGGTACAGCCATTATGGAAAACTATTTAGTGTTTCCTCAAAAATTTAAACACAGAATTATCATATGATCCAGTAATTCCATTCCTAGTTATATATCCAGAAGAATTGAAAACAGGTATTCAAACAAACTTGCACAAAAATCTTCATAGCAGCACTATTCACAAAAGTGAGAAGGTGTAAATAATACAAATGTCCACCAACAGATGAAAGGATAAATTAAATGTACATCCACACAGTCGAATATTATTAGGCAATAAAAAGGAATCAATTAGTGATAGATGATACAACATGAACAAACCCTGAAAAAACTGTACTAAGTGAAAGAAGTCAGGTATAAAAGGTCAGCTATTGTATGATTTCATTATATGAAATATGTAGAATAGGTAAACCCACAGAGGCAGAAAGCAGGCTGGTTTTTTGAGGGGTAGGGGGAGGGAGAAATGTGGAGTGATTGCTTAATGGATACAGGGTTTCCTTCTGGAGTGATGGAAATGTTTTGGAGTGATAGAAGTGGTGATGGCACAGCATTGTGAATTTGCTAAATTGCACACTGTAAAATTATTATTTTTTTTTGTATTTCATCTTAATGAAAAACAAAGAAACAAAAGTCTGTGTGAACAGAGGCACACTTAGGCTAGACGTGGATTGTAGTCTGAAAGGCATGGAAGGCTGGAGGTCACAGTGAGGACTGACGACAGATTCTGAGAGGTGGAAAGACACAGCTGTTCTTGAAGATAATGACAAAATGTAAAACAACCTTTTGCCTGTGGCGAGCAAGAACAAACACTAGAAAGCCTGGATGATTGGTACAAAGTAGATAACACTGTGCAGGGGAGGGAAATCACTGGATTACAAGAGCCTCCAAGTTTTTGACTCAAACCCCAAAATCATTTGGCTAGTCCATGTGTTGGCTCTGCCTCCATTTATAACCACTGTTCTCTCCGGAAGAGCAGAATGCCTGTATCTGCTTCCTGCAAATGCATTTAGAGAATTAATTCCAATTTCCTCTTCTTGTACCGCCAATATGATTTACATCCCATGAAATCTAGAACTTTGCTACTCAGAGTGTAGTCCATGAAGTAGCTTTGGGGTTACCTGAAAAGCTTGTTATAAATGAAGAATCTTAGCCTCTGTCCCCCCTTATTATAATTTTATTATAATAAGATTCCCTAGTAATCCTAGTAATTTTATGCATATTAACTAACATTTGACAAGCTCCCATCTAGAAAGAATAATGGAGAGACAAATGAGATTCATTTTCCCCAGGGCACAATGATGCCTGATTCTAATTATACCTATTAGGATTATTCTCAATATGGCTTATCTTCCAGCTAAATTTTCTAAAAGGACCAAGTTATGGTGTTTGATTCACTCAAGGGAATGTGGGCTGGCATGAGTCATCGACCTTCATGCTTGTTTTCAAATCTGATTTTATCAAACTCATCACCTTCTCTGTGTCTGTTTCCTCTCAAATTTGTCACCTTCTTTGGCTACACTGTCTAAAATTTCATTGCCTCTACCATGCACCATCTTCTCTCCTCCTTAACATTTATCACCATACAATACATTATTTCACTTATTTATCTTGTTTATAGTTTGTCTCCCCTGTTCAAATGTTAACTCCATGAAGGCAGAAATTTTTGCCTGCTTTGTTCTTGATGTATCTCCAGCAACTTGAACAGTGCCAGCCATCCAGTCAGCACTCAATGAATACTTACTGGATGACTTAATGATTTCACCATTCCCCTCATCCCCATTGCGAGTAATTCTATATCTATGGTCACTCTTACTTCCTTTCTTTTTTCTCTTGTGATCCTGCCATGTTTGTTCAACTTGTCATTGTTTCTCAGAACTATCACAAGACTTGCCACCTGCAAGCTAATGAAATTTAAGCAAGTTATTTATAGTATCATATTTCCTCATGTAAAAATAGGGATAATAATAGTACAGACTGTAATGAGGCTTATGTACATGATACATGTATATCACTTGGTCAAGTGACAGGAAAACAGAATAGACACTCAGTGAATATTAGTTATTTATGTATCTCCTACCCTGGGTTTGTTCCGACCTAGATTTCCTGTCTTGTCTCCTGTGCTGTATGTTTCTGAATCTCATACTTTGGCCCCAATGGACCACTTGTGGTTACCTAAACATGATATACACCTTCATGTTTTACATATAATGAAGAGCAGGGAATGAGAAGCAGGCAGGATTAGATAATTCCTTTCTCTATGCCATATAAATCACTGTTGACCCACCACCTAACTCCTGATTTGTATTAAAGAAAGAGAAAGCTAGAGATCTCTTTTTAAAAAAATAGTCAACAGGAACTAACAAGACTATTTCTAGTGTTTTTTGTGGGTCTAAAAATTTTGGCTAAGTTGATTCATGGATTTTTCAATATTTTAGATGAGGATAGTGAGGCCCAGGAGGAATAAGTAATGTAACTGATGTTATACAGCAAGACAGTAATTGGGCAAAATAATTTATTTTCCCAATCTTAGTGCTTCTGATTTTACAACATGCTGCTGATAAACCCAGGAGTCTTGTCTTAGAAAAACTCATTTCCCATGCCACAGGAGACAGTTCCCTTAAATGCAGACACAATTTAAGTTGGTAACTGAAATATTTAACATTCTAAATTGAGAAGAGGTAGCAGCTTATCAGTCACCACTGTGAGCCCAACTCAGGCCCTTGGCAGAGGCACAGACAGACACTTATATATAGGTGACTGAGAGTCAGAAAACTGCACAAAACCAGCGAAACACTCAGAAACTACATGGGTCCATTTAGGCATTTACCTGGGCCAAGGAAGGAGACAAGCGTGAGAAACCGGATCAGTGAAATCATGCTCTTAGCCCTGGAGACTGCTGCTGGAGACTTCATGGCAGTCAAGTTCATTCTGTAGTAATTTGAAAGTACTTCTTACTGAAACTTCCCCTTCTTCTCAGAGGCGTGGCAATGTAACAGGCGTGGAACGAGGTTCAGTACAGGGTACAGGCTAAAAAGCCCCAAAACCCCTCCACAAGCCTAGCTGGGGGTGCTGGGAAGAGCAGCAGCACAGAGATTGAAAGTTACTTTGCCTATCAATAATAGCAGGCTAGCTTCACAGGAATACTGAGTAGTTTGCCTGGACCAGGGAGATGGGAGTGACTTTGACCCATGATGAAGAGCTGGGAGGTGGCTCCCTGGTTATAGTGATGGTTTGCTGAATCCATATAGTGATGGTTTGAGGCCATGCCTGCCCAGATGAACTATGGCACCCAAGAAAGGTGGAAGATATGGGAGAGCTAGCAGGTGCAGCTGATTGTGGGAGGAGTCAGAAATGGGGTTAGGGAGGAGGATCCAGGCTGGGATTTAAACAACACGTGGACTGCCATGTGTGACAGGAAAATGCAGGACCTTTTGGGACCATGCAAGTCAAAAGAGGGTGAAAGGACTCTTGCTGACCAGCCATGAGGAGGTACCAAGTAATTTTGGATTAAGAACTGGAGATCATGATCACAGCAACACAGCTGATGGTGCTGGGAACCACAGGAGGCCTGTCCAGATGAGCATGGATTGTTGGGGGAACCGGAAGTGAGCTGTGGAGTTCTGATTTTTTTTTTCCCTTCTGGAAGGTGATACTTCTGACTGGCATGCTTTGAGACTGGCCTGACTGGGAAAAGAGGGAGGGCAGGACTGGGTGTTTGTGGGTGTTCTTTGTATCTATAGGAAGCAGAATTCTGCCATTATTCTAAACCTGTATAACTTTTGAATAAATAGTTCCTTTCCTTTTTTACCAAACTGTGGCATTGAGAGCCATAGTTTTAATTGGCGGTGAGCAAAAGAACCCAAGAACAAAAGACTCACTGGGAGTTTCTGTTTCAGTAAGGAGTCTTTATATACACAAGCAGTCTGAATTTTATTATTATTCAACTTACATTTATTTTTCTGAGCAAAGTACAAAAATCTTAAGTGTGCAATATGAATTGGAATTTTCACTTTCCATTCACATGATTTTTTCATATTTTTGTATTTTTTATTGTGGTGAAATAACCTAAATTACATATTGTGATCACATAACCTAAATTTTAGTGTTTTACCTATACAATTCAATGGCATCAACTATATTCACAGTGTTGTGCAACCACCAACATTATCAATTTCCAAAATGTTTTAATTACCTGTGATATTACAATTCATAAAAAATATATTTGGTCATTCAGATGACCAAAATATATTTCTCAAGTATATTTGGTCTTTGCCCATGGTTCCTGGCTCATGGCTCTCAAAACCCTTGGAATTTTCTAAGCCACTAGATCAATTAAAGCATCTTTCATTTCACTGTTTAGTCTCTTGTCCTCATTGTAACCATGCAGAAACCTCATGTCTCTTCATTTCTTTAATATGACCTTTTATTCTTTCTTTCCTTTTGATTCCAATTGGCCTTGTCCAGTATGATGGTACCATGACTCACCTGCTTCCCTCTTTCCATACACATTTACTCCCTGAATCATTAAGTCCTTAGGACATCAGATTCTGGTCAGCATCAAAGAGTCTTAAGAATGAAGCCTAAGGTCTGTTGACCACAGAAACAAAATTTCCATTGAACTAAAGATAATATGTAGGCCTCAGCTGTGTTTAAGCTCTAGATCCCAAAAAGCAAAATCACCCCACCAACCACATCCTTGCAAAGCCAGATGAATGACATCATGGCTGATACCAAGATTAGATGCAATGATCAACTACCCTCTTCCTTAGCTCTGACCAGTTACCATGATTAATGATCCCCCACTGACTCCCCCCTCCCCACAAAACACATCACCAAAAAACCATTGGGAGTCAGATCTTAGAGCATTAGCTCACCTATGTCTCTGGGTTTGGTGTCATTTCCTTAAATAAACCTTTACTTTCTTTGCTGCATAGTCCTCTAAATTGTTTGGGCTTTGATATGTGCAGACAAAAAAACCGCTTTGGTTTGGTAGCAGTTTTGGTGCCTAACATGGGGCCTTTATATTGGTAGATTAAGTGACCTCTGGCCTGGGTCTTGCCAGCAGCTTCCTACCTAGCAGTTGTCCAGACTAGTTGTCTTGAAGGTGGGACCTGGGCAGTTGTCCACAGCTGGGTACTCTGACCAATGTACAGCACTTTTAGTTGCAACATAAAAACAAGGGGTTTTGGAAAAGGTCTGGACTTGGAATCTGCTCTGATTTTGAATACTACGCAGCAGAAAGGAAAATAGAACTACTAAACTTCGCGACAGCATGGATGGAACTGGAGAGCATTATGCTAAGCGAAATAAGCCAGGGGGCGAAAGACAAATACCATATGATCTCACCTATAAGTGGAACCTAACCAACAATACAAAGATGCAAGGAAAATAAGACCAGCAACACTGAAAGGAAAAGAAATCAACAAAGACAAGAGGGAAGGAGGGAGGGGGGCAGGGAAAAGGAAGGGAAGGGGAAAGTCAAGGAACATACAGCAAGGACTCATGGACAAAACCAAAGGGGAAGAGCTGAGGGTGGGAAGGAGGGAGGGGGCAAGGGAAAGTGGTGGGGGGAGGCAGAAACAAATGTATTTAAAAATAAAGAAAGAAAGAAAGAAAAAAATAAAATAAAAATCAAAACATTTAAATGTAAAAAAAAAGAAAAGAAAAAAAAAAGAAAATCCAAGACATTTTTTGGTTAAGTTTTGCAAGTATCAATGCCAGGGCAATGATCCTTTCCTGGACTTGGGGAAACTTGGGGGACATAGTAAGGGTGACAACTCCCAAGTTTGAAGATTGTTTTGCTAGTCTCTCTCTCTACTGAATTTGGGGAAACTCTGTGGGAACTAAGAGGTAGATGAGTTCTTAATAAGTTTGCTAGTTTGTTTGTTGGACCTCATTACTAGGGGAAACTCAATGAGAAATCTTGTTTGAAGTTTGCTTAAAATTATAATTGTTATTTGTCGAGTTTGTGTCTCATCTTGTGAGAAGGGGCCATTTCTGACTCCATTTCAGCAAACCTTAAAGGACTGGACAGTGGAAGCTAAACCTGGTCTAATTGTAGCTGTTTGCCTTACCTCAACTGCACTGAGTAGACCTTGTGTTTGCCCCCTCTAATGGGATAATAATACTCAGGTATGAGACATTGGAAAGCTTGGTCACCCAATCCCTCCTATTTTCTTGTTTTTTGTGTCTTACTTGTTGCTGGGCAAACTTGAGAAGGAAATAAAATTTGCTGAATTGTTAATTCCTATAACTGTTTGTTCTCCCTTTCCTCCCTTATCAAAACTGTCTAGTCCTACAACTTATTTAAAATTGTTTGAGCTAGGTTTTTCAACATGGCAGCAGAGTAGGTGGATGGATCTTGTGTTTACCACTTTCCAGAACCAAATGAAAAATTCAATTAAGTAGGGGAAAAATCACCATGAATGACCAACTGAAGACTGCCTGAAGAGGAAATTTATAACAAAGGAGCTGCAAAAGAAGCCATGTGGATACTGGTAGGAAGGGCAGAGAAGCGAAAGGGCTGGCCCTGCTCCCACAAGCAGCTGAAGTGCTGAAGGGAAATCTCAGTTGCAGGGGTTTCCCCTGAGAAATATGGGGCTTTAACCCCAGATCAGGCTTCATAGCCCAGAACCCCAGAGTCAGGAAGAGACACCGTGGCATTGGGAGGTGAAAAGCAAGGAGTTTCTGTCTGCCAAGGAGAGGCAGAGTCTGCTGGAGGCACAGGCACACTATTAAAGGGAACACAACCTGGGTTCCAGCAGAGGGAGGGTGGTGCGGATTAGAGTCACTTGAGGAGAGTCTGGGGCTTGTAACTCGGGGGAGAGTTGGGGTACAGCCACCAGGATCCTGGTGCTAAGTCAGTCTCAGATACCAGCAGTAGAATTCTTTCCTGGGTGAAGCAGTTCCCTCCTATGGCTTCAGATTGGAGGAGGGCAATTACTCCTCCCCTCCCAAGGAATTCTCTAACTTAATCTTTAAGAGTTCCTCTTGACCCACCAGAGCAGCCAGCAGCATAGGCTGGGGCATAGCAGTCTGGGCAGACTCAGAGGGGATTAGTTACTGGCTGTGTGGAGGAGTCACTCCTCCCACTCTCCTGTGAACCTGACTGGTGCTTTCCTCTCACGGAAGATCCAATAGAAACACCCTCCTGACTTCCAGCAGACCCTTCCTCTGGGTTCCTGAGACCTTATCCACTTGAATACTAGGGGCTCTGCCCCACTGATATCAGGGCAAAATCCAAGAAATTCCATGGCTTTGGAGTGGGATCACACCTACTATCTTCACTGAAACCTGAGCAGCACCTAACCCTCACTGGAGACCCATTAGCTCGATCCTCCCCAATCTGTAGAGGCTCTTTTAGTGACTAGGCCTGGTAGGCATCTGGCAGATGAGAGTAGATTCCAGGGTTACTCAGGATGTCTGATGGCCTGCCTCTGGTCCTGTGCTGGTAAGAGGTAGCCTTGGAGAGCAGGTTGGTCCTTTCCAAGAGTATTCAGGTCCAGCAGAGGCAGCCACATATTGTGGATCACTTAAAGCTTCAAGCAGGCTGCTGAAGTGAAGGCACAGACAATGTGTCTGAAATCGGCCTGAGCCAGAGTCCTTCCCTAGGGGCCAGAGACAACATGCCAAGTACAAGTAGCGAGCATCGGACAACATCAGAGAAGATCCAACAAACTTCAAGAACAGCATATCCAAAGGAAGATTACAGCAGGCACCAAACTATGCAGAGAAGCACACTGTTTCTTTTCATTCTTTTGCCTCTTTCCTTTTATTTTTTATTTTCTTCTTTTCTGTTTTTCCTATTTTTCATTTTTTCTATTCCATTGTTTTTCTTTTGATTTTTTTTTTACAAAAGTACAGAGCAGAATTTTATTTTTGTCAGAGAAATTTGTATATTTTTTAATTAATTAATTTATTTTTTCAA